CTCCCAACCACTGCAGCCTCAACCTGCTGGGCTCCAGCGATCCTTCCGCCTCAGCCTTCCAAGTAGCTGGAATTACAGGTGTGCACTATCACGCCCGGCTAATTTTTGATTTATTGTAGAGATGAGGTCTTGCCAAGTTGCTTGGGCGGGTCTCGAACCTGCGGACTCAGGCAGTCCACTCACCTCGGCCTCCCATAGCACTGAGATTACAAGCTGAGCCACCGAGCCCAGCCATATTTTTATACTCTTAAAATATTGAATATTGTCTGGGTGTGGTGGCTTACACTGTAGTCCCAGCACTTTGGGAGGCAGGAGCGAGAGGATTGCCTGAGCCCGGGAGTTCAAGACCAGTCCGGACAACTTGGCGAGACCTCGTCTTTACAACAAATCAAAAAATTAGCCCAGCATGGTGACACACGCCTGTAGTTCCAGCTACTTGGAAGGATCGCCTGAGCCCAGCAGTTCAAGGCTGTGGTGGCCATGAATATGCCACTGCACTCCAGCCTGGGCGAGAGTGAGATCCCAACTCAAAAAAAAGTGTGTGTGTGTGTGTGTATGTATGTATATAAAATACTGAATTAAAAGCAGTTTTAAAAAGACAGAGTCTGTGAGGTCTGCTCCTGTCCAGGGCTGAATCTCAGCCAATGGACGGATGATACCAGTCCAGACCTAAAAGCCTTCCCGGTGCTCGGTCGCCGGCTCCGTCCCTGGGACTGCCCCACAGGTGCCCGGGCCATGCCGGCATGAGGGTCCCGCTCCGTCCAGACGGAGACTGCTGGCTGGGCTGCTGCCCTCCTGGCACCTGGCCGTCAGCCGCCCAGCCTGACCCACGCCTGGCGTTCTCGGCGCCCCCTTCTCCCCTGTCTCCCCCCTTCTTCTCCATCGCCCTCCTCTCCCTCTCCGCCTCGGCTTCTCTGCAGGGACCTCGCCGCCTTCGACAAGTCCCGCGAGCAGTCCGTCCGCGCCTTCCTGGAGCACCGCGCCCGCATGCACCCCGTGACGGCGATGCTGGTGGGGAAGGACCTCCAGGTGGGCTGAAGGCCTGCACTGGCTCTGGCTTCTGCCGCGGCTGGCCTCACGAGCATCTCTTTCCAGAACCGTGAACTCGGCCTGCCTGTGACAAAGCATGCCTTTTCGTCTTGGCTTTTTGTCGCTTTTGGTTTGGGCTTTCTATCACTTGGGCGGTGATTTTGCTAAAATAAAGCTGCCTCTTTCAGTAGTGGCGTGTTCTTTTTAAAGGCCAAGTTTGGCGTTTTGGTTGACACAATTTAAAAATTTTAAGTAGCTCTGTATTCATGATCTCCCCGTGTGATCGTGAACGACGTCACCCAGCTCCGCTGGCCAGCACCCCGCGGGGCCTGGCCCTCCCCCCTCACTCCCGGGCCCTGCGGTCCCCGTGCTCGGCTGGCCGCCCTGAACGCTGGGACCTCCCGCCTGACAGCCTGTCCAGAACAGCACCACAGCTGCCCCAGGTGACGGCGACAGCTGCCCCTGTACAGGGGCTGGGAGGCACAGCTGTGTCGCTTAGGGCTCCTGGACTGCGGTGACCCGCCACGAGGATGTCGGGGAGCAGAAGAGGAAGGAGATTTAAGGCTGCCGGTGTGGGGCTGTCGGGCCCGGGGCCAGGCTGGGCGACAGACCCGGGGCCTGCAGGGCCGCCCGTGCTCCTGCCCTGCCCCACTCCACAGAGCATGCCTGACCATCTGCGTGACTGGCACCCACTTCTGCCACCCGGGGGCACACCTTGGCTCCAGTTTCCCAGGGTGAGGCTCTGACCCCGGTGGACCCACCCCGGCCAAGTCCACTCCAGCCAGAGGAAGGGTCTCACCTCACGACCCCCAAAGTGCTGACCCTGTCACTGGGGTCCCACTCTGGGAGCGAACATTGGAAGCTGCAGCTGGGCTCAAGGACGAAGCCCTCGTCCCTGGAGGCCTGAGACCACCCTGCTCCCTCCCTGGCGGTTCTGGCCTCTCGGACGCTTGTCCCCTTGCCAGGAAGGCCAGTGGAGGGCATTGCGCTCCGACCCTGGAGTGTGACCTGTTCCCAGTGATCAGACTTAAGCAAGTCGCGACCAACCGATGCCTCCCAAGACCGCCACCACCCCATGGCATTATGGACACATGTGAGCCCTGGCCCTCCAGTTATCCTCGGGGATTCTGCCGGTGACTTGGTGCTCTAGGGTGCGGGGCGGCCGCCATGCGGGAGGCAGAGGGTGCCAGAGACAGGCTCCCCCGTCAGGTCACCCCCTCGGCCCCACCGAAGGCCCATGCCCAGGGTCTGTGCCGGGCTGGGCACACGTCACCACTGGGTACACCCACAAGCATCACTCCACGCGATGCCAGGGGAGAGGCAGGCTAAGGCAGCTGGCAGGGGCCCCACCCCCCCGGGCCCAGGGTGTGATTCCTGGGAGAACAGGCCCGAGTGGAGACGAGGTGAGAGGCGTCCCAGGCAGAGGATTTCAGCGTGTCCAGGGTGGAGGACACTGGAGTCTCTGCCCCAGTGCCCGGGCACCCGTGCTTCTGGGAGCCCTGCCATCCGGAGCTCCCTCCGCTGGGTCTGTCCACTGGTGGGGGTGTCAGCGTCCTGCGGCGTGGGGGCCGTGGGGCCTCGTCTGCACCCTGACGTCCGCCACGGTCAGCAGTGGAGGCAAGACCACCTCCAACTCAATCCACGCCCACGTCCAGCACACCGCGACACGCCACGGTGTCAGGGAACGTCTTGACTGAGCGGGTGGGTGGAGGGTCGGAAGCCTAGAGGGGCTCCCAGCTGGCCTCAGTTTCTCAGGGGTGTAGAGGTTGGGTCCTGCCCCGAGGACTGGAGGGGTGGGTGCTGAGGAGGTCCTTGAGGAGTGGAAGGTTCTGGAAACACACTGGGTGCACAAAGGCGACGCCACAAGTCTCCGTGGTCCCGGGAGCCTGTGGCTGTCTCCTGGTGGGGGACGGGTGGCAGCTTCTCCAGATGACCTGGGGACGGATCAGGGTCTCAGAGGAGTTTCAAAGTATTTACGAGGCCAGACGCACGGCTCACACCTGCAATTCCAGCACTTTGGGAGCCCAAGCCTGGAGGGTCGCTTGAGCCCAGGTGTTGGAGACCAGCTTCAGCAGCAAAGCAACGCCTCAACTCTACAAAAGATAGAACAATTAGCTGGGGGTGGTGGCGTGCACCTGCAGCCCCAGCCAGTCAGGAAGCTGAGGAGGGAGGACCGCCTGAGCCCAGCAGGTCCCGGGTGCGGTGAGAAGTGACGGTGCCACTGCTCTGCAGCGTGGGCAAGAGAGTGAGACTCAAACAGACAAAGTGCTCATGAAAGAGAGGCCCAGGCACGCAGCTGGGGGCCAGCTTCCCAGGCCTGTGAGGACGCGGGGCAGGGGGGCGGGGGGATGGCTGCGTTTGGGTCGAGGCGTGGTCGGAAGCGGGGTCTGGCCAGGTCCAGGTGGTGGCGAGGTCCGGGCACCAGCGGGGGCTGGCGCGGGGGCTGGAGGGGGCGGTCCTGGACCGAGGCTTCCTGGAACGCGGGGCTGCTCCCTGTGACAGCGATGTCTGCTGCCAACGGGAACGTGGTTCACAGAAATGGACTCTTGGGTTTTCCGACTGCCGCTACTGTCTGGGCCACCGGAGAGAGAGCGCCACCGGGGCTGGACCACGTCACCTTCCCGGGCCCCTCATCGGGCTGTTCCAAGTCCCCAGGACCGGGCCGGCAGGGTGGTCAGGGACAGCACGTGCCCAGATGGGGAATGGCCACAAAGCCAGGCGGCTGGCTGGTGGCACTCACGGTCCCCGCACACGTGCCAGGGCTCGCCAAGGGCCCTCCGCGCCAGGACTTACTGAGTCCCCTGCTGCCCCGGGACCCGGCGCCGTCAGTGTCTTCACGCTAGGGATGAGGAAGCGGCGGGAAGAGGTCGAGGGGCCGGCCCAGGGGTCCCACGCCTGGGAGCGGCAGAGCCGGGATCGGACCGGTAGCTCCCCCCACGGGGGCGTCGGGGCGGCCTCGGGTGCAGAGACCAGGCTGGTCCCTTGCTGAGGCTGGCCAGTGGCGGAGCTGGAGGCCCGCCCAGGGGTCCGAGCCGTCTCCAAGCACGGGTGTGTTTGTCCAGGCGGCGACCTTCGTGGTGGAGATGACCTCTGGCCTCTCCAGCCTTCCTGCGGGGAGGGAGGCTCCAGAAAGCCTGGCTGTGGCCGGGGAGCGTTGCCCAACGTGTTTGTGGGATAAACAGATGCGTGACGATTGCCACACTCCTGGTGTCAGGGCTGGCGGCAGGGGCCTCGCCTGGTTGGGCAACTCCAGGTAACTCCGGGGCCTCGGCGTTTATAAGCTGTCCTCAGAGCGGGAGCCGCAGACAGCAGCCAGGGCGAGCGCGTGGGGACCCTGCAGAGGCCAACACAGGTGGGTACGGCGGCGCTGGGACCCCGGGGGAGGGAGGAGGGTGG